TCTAGCATTCTGCTTCGCTATCTTGTACTACGTGAAAGAGGTCAGTCCCGGTCAGGTCAGGACTTGTATCTAAATCTTCCACTGCGCTATAAAACACCATTTTGTATGGATCAGGATGTACACTGCTTGTTGAGATTCTACTTGCATTGTCCATTCAGTCCTTTTCATCACATTGCGGATCCTCGGTTTATATGTACATCGCCCAACTGGGCATGTAACAACGACATAGCCAGAGGTAGGTACCAGGTACCGGGCCCATGGGCCTTCTCAGCACAGCACACACAAGTACCCCAGCAGCGGGTCACACACACACACACACACACCCATGCAATCATGCAGAGACACGCAAACACACAGAAACTCAGCAATCACGCACACACACAAACTTAGAAATCTCGGCAGAATACGCAAATATCAGCAAGTCACTACTCAAATAAGGGACAAAACTCAGAAAACAGCAGGTTTCTCAGTCTGCGATTTTGCACGTCATTACACAGGCTTCCTTTTAGTTTGTTATTCGACAAGGGCGGGTGGGAGGGGGATGGCATGGGGATGGCACAGAATGACATGACTAGAAAAGACAGGACAGACAAGGAGAGAACAGAACACACTGCTGTGACAGTCTAACCTTCAGAAGCCTTCAGGGAAAAAAAAAGAAAAAAGTCTCCAGAAGCCCACATCTGCTTACACTGTAGCACACTGAGCTTAACAAACAATCAGACTGAATTTCACTGAAGCTGTTAAATCATGGGGTCTCATAGAGAAGGGAAAAAAAAGCAGGAGGAGAGAGAAGGAGGTGAAGAAGACAAAAGAAGCGGGAGAAGAAAGATGATGAAGAAGATTGGCCCAAGCAGGTAATCAGGCTTCCTTCCAAGGCTGCCCAGACGCCCCCGCCGAGTATCCTAGTTTAAACCGCCAGAACCTTTCTCATACATCGGCCGGCAGGCCGTGCGTGCCAAGCGCTGCCGATGTATCTGGCCGGCGCTGGAGGACGAAAAGCGGCCTCCGTGTTAACCGCCGCGCCTTTGTTTTCCAAGCGCGGAAAGGTACTTGAGGTTTAAGAGGGGATAGCCCCTGAAACTTGTATTCAATGATGTGTTCAGTGACAGCTGCATGTGTGCACCCCGGCCCCCAACCGGGATGCCCGCCCGGCCAGGCCGCCCGGGACCTCCCCCGGGCAGGCGCTGGTCGGCCGGACGGCCTGGATCCGTACACAGGTATTCGTACTGTTCATCCGATTGAATCTGGAGCCGAAGTCATGATGTGTTCAGTGACAGCTACATGTGTGCACCTTGCAGCCACATGGCTGCGGCTTTGAGCTAACGCTCCCCACTTTGATTGCTTATAGCTCAAACCTGACTTCTTATAGCTCAAACTCACTTTCTCTAACTTACTCTAATTTCTGATCGTATTGTCCCAAGAGCAGGAAGCTTCCCTAAGTATATAGCTCAAGCGAACTTTTTCCCGATTTGTGACCATGTTATTGTTTAGCTCTTTCGAGACTGCTGCTCATCCTTTCAGCTAATCTGCTGAACAGGAGGAGAATGTTCATCCTAAAGACCAGAAGCTACTAGTGAGCAAGGTTTGTCTTTCTCTCTTTCTCTCCACAGTTCAACTAGCGCCAAAAATAGGAGAGAAAAAAAAAGAAAAGGGTAATCCATGAGATATGAACTACAGTAGGATGCTAATACCAACTGCCCTAGCTCAGTCTGTACACCATTGAACTGTTGCTGAAATACAGACCAGGTGCTGAGTTCAAACTCCACAAAGAAGCAGATGAGTAAAATACTACACTTCCGAATCACATAGGGCCGGTCAATTCTATGATGAAGATATATATCTCAAGGCCGTCGGCCTTCTTTTTTTTTCCTTTCAAAAAGAGAAAAATAAAAAGAACTAGGATGCTAATCCTTAAGATGAGCTACCTTAGCATGCTAATCCCCCACTGAGAATCTCGTAGGACAAGTTGATGGGCATTTGCTGTTCATAACACATCATACCATATCCTCTGTGCGTTTCGATTCGGCATTGGAGCTGCAAAGTGGACAGCACAGTTAGCTTGCCCTTCTCCATCGAGAATGCAATGCTCCCACACATGATGGTCTCTCTCTCTCTCTCTCTCTCTCTCTCTCTCTCTCTCTCTCTCTCTCTCTCTCTCTCTCTCTCTCTCTCTCTCTCTCTCTCTCTCTACTTGAGAGACTGCAAACTCTGTGGCTTTCGACATGACGGGCATTTCCACGACAACGGTACACCGTTGAAGCTCCTTGAGTTTGAAGAAAGGTTCTTCTCACCTCCAGTAAGAGAGCAGGCACAAACATCAGCGTCGCCACAGCGTGAAAGCCTTTGCGAAGGAGAATCCGCGGTATCTGGCTTCTTTTTGCCAATCGCGAAAGCACGCACACAGAACCAAGTATGCACATGATCCAGAAAACACACAGAATCGGTCTCGCCAGGGAGTCCCTGAAGACAAACTGTAAAATCCTGGAAAAAATCACATGAAACACCACAATTCACAGCGGAGCTTCTCAGGACGACTGCCATGGAAGAAGGCACGGTCGGTCAAACACCCTGTGGTTCAGGAGACATTAGATCGTTACTATTCGTCAGTCGGTACTATTCATTAGTCATTACTATTCGTTAGTTGGTACTATTCGTTAGTTGGTACTATTCGTTAGTTGGTACTATTCGTTAGTGGTATGCAATAGAGCAAGCTATCGTTTCTGCGGTGCGGACAAGGTCGATGACTTACTAGTAGTCATCTGGATCCAGAAGATGGCCGCAGGGAGGGTAAGACAAAACATGCAAAAGGGGGGAGGCGGAGGGGGGGTGGGGGGAGGGAGGGAGGGGAAGGGGAAGAACTACCGCCTTCACCTGAATGGAATGCCCGGTCATCATCGCTGTATCGAAACTGAAATTTGCCACAAATGCGGGCTATAATGACCAGGCGTTCAATTCGGGTGAAGACGGTAGTATTCGTATGCTAATCCGGAAATCGCCCACATCTAAATGAACGGAAGCTACACGAGTTACCTTGATGGACAAACTCATCTGAAACAGAGCAAAAATATCCCTTGCAAACTGGATCATCCAATCACGCAGGAGGGTGAGACCAAAAAAAGACATGCCAAAGCGGAGAAAAATTCCGAAAATACTACATACTACATAGTATATTCGTTTGCTTTTCCTTTGGCTACACCTGACTGGACTAATAGAAGTCACAGAACTTACCTCCTAGGCTTCTACAAAGACTTTCGCCCCCACACGTACATTACATGTATATACTATAAACTTATTAAGTTATAACCCCCCCTGATTCGGTACCCAAAAAAAACACCCCTTGCAACATTGGCCAACCAAACAAAACAGAAACCAGTACTGCAAAAACCACGGGCCGGCCGAATCGATCCCTCTGGCAACCTCCCTGCAAAATTTAATGTGGTGCTATGGAACACAAATGGAAGAAGCCAAAAAAAAAAAATAATAAAAATAAAAAATAAAAATGGAAGAAGCGAAATGATTCTCAGGGTTGTGATGTAAGTTCTGAACATTGGCCGACCAAACAACCGATGTAGGTCCTGAGCCTGTTAAAGAAAATTGCAGATCCAGACACGTGACAAAAGAAAACACTGCATTGGCGAAAGCGCACGTGGGCACCACCCAGGGCGCAAACTCAAGATACTCTTCTTCCCACCAGCTTGCAATGAATTGCACAGACTCAACACACTTGCCCCAAACCCAAAAATAGAACAGACAAAGAGTGAGAGAACCTCCAGGTTCCTTTTTTAAGCCAGCATTTACTTACTTATTATTTTGCTGACTCTGTCTGTTCTATAACTTCTATTGGTGTGTGACAGAACCTCTGCCTGTGCGTGTGCCTCTCTTGCTCCATCTGAACTATCACCTGGAGGGAGTCGCAATTTCTTTTTATTTCTCAAGCAACATCTCCCTCCACATCCCATGGCATGCATGACAGTGCAGGCCCGCAAACACCAACTGCCAAGTTTCACCATCCTATTCATGTCCCCACTACCCCCCAACTTGCACCCCCAAAAACGTTATCGGCACGATTTGGCAGCCAGAAGAACACACATAACGCAAATTCACCTGGAGTCACAATGAGTCCACAATGAGACAAGGACACACAAATGCAGAGCAGCCATCCTACAGTCCACGTACCATATGAAAGGATGAGCCCTCCAGCTGCACACTAGCTGCAGCCAAGACGGGGCCGCAGCTAACACAACGACCACAAGACTTGCATACAACGCCATCGCTTGACCAAATGGCATCGCATCAGTCCTGATTGTCTTCGGTCCCTTGTCACAGCCATCGCCCTCACCTTCCGTAAGATCGCAACGGATATTTTCGCAGCATGGCAAGGAGGCACTTGCAAAACGAAGTTGCAAAGTTGAGCAGCAATGAGAGGAAGATGACGAATCCCCATGCACAATAGATCCAGTATGGGGAGTCGATACTGCAGAGGAGAAAGACACGAGCTCGATCCACGAATGCATCGATGATGATATCCACGCCACGGCAAGCACCCCAATTACTGCCACCTGTTAATAAAACACACGCTGTTGCTATCAGGGAGAGTCGTAGGGGAAGGGCAAAGCAGGGACATCAACATTCGGTATCAACCACGAGTAGTTAGAGGCAGGTCGGCCGTTCCCTGAATTCTTTGCGAATATTGAAAATTTCAAAGGAGAGTCAGATTTACTCAGAGAAGGACAGATGCATACCAGAGCAACAAGGATCTGGGCACACGATTTCCAAAAAAACAAAAAAAAAAAAACAAAAAAAACTGGCATGATCACGCTGGTTGAATCACCTATCTATCATCTTCTCCTGAACCTGAATACAACATACGGTCATTATCGCTGTACCTAGACTGACAGTTGACCCCCAAATACAAGCATAATGACCGTACGTTCTATTCGGGGGAAGACGGTAGTGGGGGTTGATTTTTTTGGATTGAAATGGCCTGTGAGGCTGTGAGGCTGTGAGTCTGTGACAAGCCGCAAAGCTGCCACACCAATGAGAAATTACGACTACTTCACAGCAGTGAAGTTCAATCTTTTTCTTAAATTTATTCAAGTTTATTGTCTTTTTAACAAGTTTTAACTGTTTTATTAAGTTTTTAATTTGGTCATGGTATGACCACACCATAAAAGTCAACCCATTTCTCAATTTCTGTGTGTCATCTTTGTGCAGGGTCCCCATGGCGATCTCCGCTGTTTTTTTCGATCCAATTTTAAGTTTTAAGTTTTAACAGATGTCCTGAAGGACACAGACAGTGAAGTCCATATTCTTATCTTATGTTATTACAAGGAGGCCTCTCAGAATGTTTCACTCCTCGGTAAAGTTACCACTTTACAGATCTTTTACAGCCTGCAGATCAGCTACTGAACGGTTTTTTGCACAACCATCAAAATTGAATATGCAGCAGGAAAGAAATAAATAAACAAAGCTGCTATTAAAGCACGAAATCATGAAATAAGGGCCAGTGCCTGGGTTGTGGCTGAGTTGTATACACATGTTTTAGTACGATGTTACCCTTCATAAGCAGATCATTAGTTGGAGTTCTGACATGTTCAGTGCAATAACACTTGGGGCTATGGGTTCGATTCCCGTTATCCGCAATTGCGACTTGATGAAAAAAAAAAACAGAGATAAATAAAATGCGCACGCCCCTTTGCGAAAACGGAAGAGTGGCCTGCATGGACTGCAACTTCCATACCTGCATGATGACATGTGTTTCATCACAGTGACCAAGCTGACTATAATGTGATGGGACCTTCGGGATGACAGCTGGGAACACCTGTACCACAAAGGACCGGGAAAATATGGTAAGCTGAGCCTTATGTCAACCACACACAGACACACACACACACACACACAGAGAGAGAGAGAGAGAGAGAGAGAGAGAGAGAGAGAGAGAGAGAGAGAGAGAGAGAGAGAGAGAG